CCAACAGTGCATGTGTAGGTGTCCTCACACAGACCAACAGTGCATGTTAGACTGATTGGTATCTGTAAATTGTCTCTAGGTGTGAGTGAGACAGTGAATGGTTCTTTGTCTCTATGTGTCCCTGTGATGGACTGGAGACATGTCCAGGGTGTCCCCCGCCTCTCGCACAGTGATGGCTGGACATGGGCACCAGTGACCCCCGCGACCCGAAAAGGAAGAAGCGGTTAAAGGATAATGGATGAATGGTGTGGTAAACTGAATGACAACCAGTTGCAACATGTTTCACCACATTAATTTTACTGGGCGTACTGGCAACTGGTTTGACAGTGGCATTAGGAGTGTCTGAGTTTACAACTGCCGTTTCAACACGCGTGTGTGTGCGCATGTGCGTGTGTGAGTTTGCGTGTTTCCTTTTAAAAAAGGTGGTTTTAAATGTTGTTTCCACAAAACTGACGTTACAAGTCATTTTCAGCCTCTGGTAAATCACTTATGAAGAACAAGTGAGTCAGAAATATTCAATATACTGTAGTTTTACTTGGACTGAAGGTTAATGTACAGACGTCACACAAAATATTTAAACAACACCCCCCAACTCAAACACATACACAACTTTTTTATTTTTTGAGTGCTTAAATCTGATTGGTTGTAGGACCTGATGTGAGCTGAGTCAGTGAGCCCCCAAACAAAAAAGTTTACTATCTATCTACTACAATTATTATTGTTATAACATTAATCGTGAGTACATGTTTATTTATACTTTATGTAAATTATAAACTGCAGACCAGGACTGGTACCTTATAGTTCATGGTTCATGTATGATTCATGGTTTTAATCTGTAAAAATAGGTTCATGATTTGTGTAAACAGTAACAATGTAAAAAAAAAAAAATCTACATGAATGATTATATTAATAATCTGATTTATGTGTCATTTTAATTGTGAGCAAATTATGAATCAGGTATTAAAAATAGACATGACCTACATTCTGTGTAACCCTTCAACAAACTTACATCCAGTTCAGTCAGAAGACAATAAAAGTTAATCAACTATTACATTGATAATGTTCTTCACACATTATAAAACTGGAGTGAAGCAATATGTTTGATGGGCAAACCTAAATTACAGCTCATCACCTAATAAAAAGTTTAGGACTTACTTGTGTGGCCAAAGCTGCAGATGAGCAGCAGCAGGGAGGAGCAGCTCAACACTCTCATGTTGCCGAGCGGCACTGGAAGCTGCCCACTGGTCTGGGATCAGCAGAATATGAGGGATGGGGCTCCACCAGCTGGAACTGTTAATGTGGTGATGATCAAACCCAGCGTCCTGTTGCTCTGACTTGCTCTGCTTCTGTGGATGTGACAGGGAAGCTCCGCACTAGCTGGAGTTTGACCACATCAGACACATTTCAGTGTGGTCCAGGAGAGGGTGGGAGGGGCCGCGGGGGGCCCGGGATGGAGGTGGGCGGAGACTGAGGATGGTGTGATTTCTGTAGTACACGCCCCCAACAAGGCAGGCCTGTCTTACTATGATTAACCCTTTCATGGAAGTAACAACACTGAGACACTAAAAAAGGCTGCTGTTCTTGGTAGAAGGTTCTCAAAGATGCACAGCATTAAAAGGAAAAGTGGAAAAGGGTGGGAGAAACCAGCAACTTGGGCTGAATGGTCACTATCATTACAAAAAAAAAACATAAAGCATGATAGAAAATGTATTAAAATACAGATTTATATACAGTACTATGAAAAGTTACAACAGGTGGTGTGAGTAAAAACTTATCTGAAAATCGGTGAAACTGACAAATTGCCAGGCATCTTTTGCACTGTAACAGATATTATACTATATAAATCAAAATCCTTTTTTTCATACAAAAATACATAATTAAAAGTGGGTTGGCCAGCAAATTTAACATATCTTGTAAAATATATGGAAAATAGAAACATGTTAATCTATGTTGTCCTTCTTGCCATCTACCATGGCAAACAGCAAACAATGCACAGTATGTTTATTATGTAAAATACAATCATAGTTCAAATAAAATATAAAGTTTCACAATCAAACTCAGAGTTAATTACTGTAATTGTCAGTCTATAGACTGCGCCTGAATATAAACCGCACACACACGAAACCCCATTTTGTACATATATAAGTTGCTCGTGTGTATAAGTCGCGGTTGTTCATGTTGTAACATGAGTGGCAGCTCACAGCTATGAGAGATGTACAGCTCTCATTGCAGATAAAGATTCTACCATCAGATAGTGTTTCACTGACTATTTTTCTTTTCACACACACAGACAGAGTGAATCACACACGTCTTCATGACAACTACCTCTCTCTCATGATTACTCTACTGAATGGCCTAACACATAATGAACACATAAATAAATTAAGCTAAGAAAAACAGACTACCGGTAATGCTAAACAGCTAATCAAAATGATTAACAATGAACATAAATTTGACCCCTAATCCCTCTCTGAGGCCATGTGACCAGCAGTCAACCACAATGAACCAATCAAGTGGTCTCATTGAGTCACGATGGACCAGCACTCAAGAGAGATGTGTATAATGAGACTACCTGTATAAATAAAGGTTAATAAGCATCGGACCAATGAAATTATCCCTTAACAAAAAGTAGTACATCCATCCATTTTCTTTACCCGCTTATTCCATTTTGGGTCACGGGGGTCGCTGGAGCCCATGTCCAGCAATCACTGTGCGAGGGGCGGGGTACACCCTGGACGGGTCGCAAGTCCATCACAGGGACACATAGAGACAAACGAGACAAACAACCATTCACTCTCTCACTCACACCTAGGGACAATTTAGAGTGACCAATCAGTCTAACATGCATGTTTTTGTTCTGTGGGAGGAAACCGGAGTACCCGGAGTAAACCCACACATGCACGGAGAGAACATGCAAACTCCACCCAGAAAGGCCCCTGGACCGGGGTTTGAACCAAGGACCTGCTCGCTGAGAGGCAGCAGCTCTACCAGTTGCGCCACCGTGCTGCCCAAAAGTAGTACATTTGAAGTTTATTTTTGCAAGTATACTTTAAGTTAAGTAATAATATATCAAGTATACTACACACCATACTTGTAGTGTACTAGAAGTATACTGATTTAACACTTGTTTGGACTAAATTGGGACTTTTTATACTATTTTTAAGTATATCAAATAAAGTTTATAAAAAGTAAACTTCAAGTACACTTCCTCATTTTTAGTGTAAAATAAGTATATTTGTAGTACACTTAAATAAACTACTTTTTGCTAAGGGATATGGAACAGCTAGCAGTAGAACCAATGAAACTGGGAGGGGAGGAGAGAACAGGGAGGGGCGGAGCAAGTGCTCTGCGGAGGGGGGATTCCCCCCCCCCCCTTTTCCATCATCTGCATGTGTTAAACAGTAAAATTTTAAATAAAATGGCCAGATAAACAATCCATGGAGCATGGATTGTTTATTTAAAAATATTACAGTATTTAAATTTAAATTGGAGGGAGATTGGGAGTAATAGGTGATCTGTCTGATTGCAGCCTGGCACATGTCATGACAAAGTTTACTGTACTTGAACTTGGACTATTGTATCCCTATTTCACAGTTTTTCACCTATTCCATACCCTGCCCCCCACCCTGAGCGATAAACGAGGAACTACTGTGCAGTGATTTTTTGTTGTTGTTTTTTTACATTGATTATCCTGGTTAGGGATTCATGAGTCTAACAGCTTCAGGGTAGAAGCTGTTCCTCAGTCTAGTGGTTCTACACTTAATGCGCCTTAACCTCCTTCCTGAGGGAGCGGGGCAAAAAGTGTGTGTGCTGGGTGAGTGGGGTCCTTCATGATGCAGGTAGCCCTCCTCCTGCATCTGAAGGTGATGCCTGTGATGGTGGGGAAGCTGACTTTATGACTGACTGACTGATTTTATGTGTTTATATTGGAGAGAAGTCTGGTGGTGATACAAGCTGACAAAATCTGAAGTCAGCTTTGGACTGAATTGATTTTTTTTCCCAACTGTTTAAATTAAGAAAGTTTTCCCGTGCGCCCTAGATGGCGGCAGCTCTCTGCTCCACACAGAGTACACACATGGTAAATTCAAAAAGCGTTCAAGACAAAAACAACTGGACTTTATTTGTAACAGAAGACGTTTCGCTCCTCATCCGAGGAGCTCACTCACTCACTGCTCATTGAATTGAGAAAGCTCCTCGGATGAGGAGCGAAACGTCTTCTGTTACAAATAAAGTCCAGTTGTTTTTTGTATTGACTGCTTTTTGAATTCATCATGTCCTGGATGACTGAGCATCTTCACCAGCACACACACATGGTAGTTCTGTGGTCTGTGGTTGCTGCTTCAGGAAGGGCATCATGCAAAACTAATTGCCAAGTTTTCATGCAAGTTAATTCACTGTGGTGACCACTAAGGTAGGGATCAGCCAAAAGAAGAAGAAAGAAGAAAGTTTGTAGAAAACCAGAATTTGATATCATTTAAGTAGTTGGTAAGAGATAGAATGGAATTAGGTATGTTAGAGAGATAGAGCTGGGTGTCATTCATGTAACAGTGGATATGATCGTCATGTTTATGAAAAATATTGACGATGGGAAGGAGGTAAATGTTGAAAATGAGGGGCCCCAGGACAGAGCTCTGAGGCACACTCTTAGTAAAAGGGGGATATCTTGGATCTGAAAGTTGAATCTGAACAAAAACAGTGCTGCCATAAGGGATGCTAATGGAGATAAGTCAGTGGAAAAGGATAGAGTGAGAGATTGTGTTAAAGGTCACACTCAAATCAACAAGAATGATATTGGAGAATAAACTGGAATCTGCTGCTATAAAGAAAGAAATTAGTAATTTATATTAGAGAAGTGTCTGTTCTATGGAACAGAAACCAGATTGGAGTTGTTTGTAAAGAATAGCTATTAGTTAAACTAGGATGGAGCTGAATTGCAACAATTTTTAGAGAAATTGATGATCAAAGATTAGTGAAGATAGTTGGTAGTGTTTTGAAGATAGTGTAGGAACAATCCCTGTGGCAAAGGAAGAGTAGATAGCAGAGATGAAAGGGAGCAAAGATGGGAGGCAGGTTTTTACTAGAACAGTGGGGAGATCTAACCGACAGATGGAAAACTTGGACTTGTGGGTAAATTAAGAAATGTCTGTAAGGAAAGATGGTTGAAAGGCAAAGAAAGAGTGGGATGGAAAAGGGGAGGAGGAGAGAGGAAGTGTTAGTCACTGACGGTGCTGACATTTAGGTCAAGGCTTCTTTATTATCATTCGCATCATATGTGGTGCATGTGGTGGAATGAAACTGTGTACACAGGGACCCAGTTACATCCAATAAAAGTATATACTGTAAAGAAAAACAGTAATAAGATCTTAGATAAGATTAAGATAATAAGATCTAATTTACTTGCCACCATTATAAGGACAAGAAGTATTTTGTGTAGATATTTGATTCATGGAGCACCAACAGTTGCAGTCTGCAGTGTAAACCCTTGAGTTATTTTTGTTTCTCATCATTTTATTTTCCATTTAAAACACCGATGTGTCATTTCACAGTGGAGGAAACCAAGAGGATACCGTACTTCAAACAGGCTGTAGAGCAGACTCCATCTTAATTGGCTTTTATCTCCATACCACCACTTTCTGAAATGACATTTACTGCGTCTCATAAAATGGTACGTTAACAACATTTGCTTTTCCAAGTTATAAGTTTGTTTGGATCCATGGGGGTAGCTGAGAATGAGTGGATAAGAACAAACAAAGATAAAACTATAGGAACAACTGGGCTAACTATACTTTAAGTGGGGAGTAAACCAAAGATAATTTATGATCCTAGGCTGTTCTCTACAGTTTGAATCTCTGTAGATGAACACTGACCTAGTTCCTATAACAAATACTGTTGTACAGTCAGATAACGCGAGTCGTCCCACGCAGTCTTTGCTGACACAGTCCTATTTTAACTTGTGGGACCTTCAGACCAGCTGCAACTCCAGAAAACAAATTGTGTAAGGGACACAAATTATGAAGTGCTCTGATACTGTGAGGTCTCACTGTGCCAAACCAAATGCTTTGATTGTCTTCACTGACCTCGAGCATTTCAGAGAATATATTAGTCTAATAGGAGCAAAAATCTGAATTGGCGCGATCAATTCGGAAAGACACACCAAAAAGAGTCATTGTTTTGAAATAATGTACCGTTAGACAATTATTTATTTTGCAGTGTAAAAAACAGTGTTATCACTTCTCTTTATGGATGTGGAAAATGTGCTCTAAAGATAACTCAAACAATTATCTGTCATTTCCCTCATCAGTCATTAACCGACGGTCCTCGTTTTTCAGTGATAACCACAAAAACGTTGGTTACGTTTACGAAAAACCATGAAGTAGGGACGCTATGTTTATTTCATTATTTATATTTTAAGGTAGGGCT